CTAACTACTAGCGATGGCCTCCAACCTACTAGCGATGGCCTCCAACCGACTAGTGATGGCCTCCAACCTACTAGCGAGGGCCTCCAGCCTAAAAGCGACGGCCTCCAATCCAATAGCGATGGCCTCCAACTAAACTTACTGGTGATGGCCTCCAACCTACTAGCGATGAATACGTCCGTTGATGGACTACGGATGACTACGGGACAGCGGGTTGATATTCCTTAGAAGTTTGTCTCAAAGACGCCTTCATCGACTTTGTACCTGAATTATTCCGAAATGATCCCAGACTACACACAAAGTTCCCAGAAGTTGGCGACGGCGTGTCCAAACGGAGAGCAAAGAAACCAGGCGATCCAATGATCAATGGATCATGCCAAAGACAGCCCAGGACAGTTGAGAGCAAGAAGCCCCGGGAACACGGCGAGGAAATCCCGAATCATAAAACCAAGAAGCCACCAGCATGTTGCCAAGCTGCAACCCCAGGGTTGCATAGAGGATCACTTACAAAACAAGGAGAGCCTCAAGTTGCCAAGCAGGGAAAACCCGGGAACACTAAGCAACATTCGAGGAGAGACCAAGCGTGCTTCGAATTTGTGAAAGAACTGTGAGTCCTATGCTTCAGCTGTCCCCGCGAGGCACCTTTGCCCAGCAGCACACGGCCCGCAGTGGTGAACATGGTCCAATTGGACATCACCTTCCTCAGGCCACTTGGCAAATTGTGGCTAAGGGCCAAACAAAGCAAAAAACACTGGAAACACATATATTTCCTCAAACACACTTGAAACGGGCCTTAGGCTCATTTTGTCTTTGTGCTCACAAGGCAGCTGCAGCCGGGAGAAGCTGCACATGTGACTGGGCTGACGGAAACAGACAGAGGCATGCTTTCAGAAGCATCATGTTTTGTCTTTCGCGTACAAGGAAAGTCATGAAAGTCATTGAGGCTTCCAGGAACGTGTTGGATACGACCAAGAAGCCTAGAAGCATGTTTGTTTCCCGTGCCTAAACTGAGTCTGGGAAGGTAGATTTGGGGATGAATGTAAAGCGTGGGAACCTGGTGTTGACAGGTGTGAGGGCCTGACGAACTTCACTCGTGCGACTCGTGTCGACTCGTGTCGACTTAGATCACGGTCCTGGCACCCAGCACTTCAAAGGCGGAAGCGAACCGAGTGTCGAAGCGGCGAAGCAAGTGAGGTAAACATGAGACATCGTGAGACCTTCTCACCCGCTGGGTGTGCTAAGTGTGTTTTGCTGTGTCCTTTTGCAGTTTTCAGTTGAGACCTTATTTGGCTTTTACAAGTTACATCAAGTTACCATGCGTAAGTCTTTGGTTCATTCTGACTGGCTGATGTTGCACGTGTCCCTGTTCTGTAGGTGCTATGTCAACGGTTTAGCGATGTGACTGGTGGAGGTACCTTGCTCGGAGCAGAACGGTTTAGCTTTAAACGTTCGTTCTCGGCTTTCTCGGCATGACGCCCAGGCAACCTGGCAGCTGCTTTGCCTTTGGATAACTCCGTGGGCACTTACGGTGCGGCATGAACTCTCTCGTGTAAAGACCTTCAGGCAGTGAGTCAATGAAAGCATTTAGGAGGCCGGATGCGGCATATTGGTTTCCTGTACTCTGTGTTCATCTATATTCCATGAAAAGCAACGAACGACATGTTCATTTTAAAGGCAGGTTGGCAGGTTTCCAAGTCGAAGTTGTCGAGAATACATCTAGCCTGGTCATTTTTTGATGGCGTTTTCACTTTGTACACATACATGTGCTTCACCATGACATCACAGACAGACACACACTCACACACACTTGTTGGAAGATTGGGGGGTGGGAGGGTAATGATTTTGTTTTCACGGATTGCTGGACAGTGTCAGTGAGGTTTTACAGGTTTTTGTCGCGCCCTAGTTGTTTGGTTTTGTGGGTGGAGCCCTGACGAGTATCGCACATTGTGTTCGATCCTGACCGTTTCTATCTTGCGTATCTTGACTTCTCGTGTTTATCGCATTTTACCGAAATATTGTTTCGATGGTGGTTGTGTGTTCGGGGTGAATATGTTACAACTATGTTGCAAAAATGCTGTCGGATGTGGCGACAAAACATGAATTCGACGAAGTTCGACGACTCCTGAAGACGTAAAAAAATGTCGGTGTCGTTAGTTCCTGGGGCTGTGAAGTGCTAGTGCTGAACCGTATTGCTCAGGTGTTCTTGACACTTGTTTATTCTCCCCAGTCAGGTGCCGTGTTCAAACATACCCTTCAGACATTCAAATTTCTCCACAGCGGCCCTGCAAATAGTGAAGCAAAAGAATAATGCATAAGAGAGCACAAAAGCACGCAGCCATCTATGGCGCGTCTACTTAGTTGCGTTGGGAAATATTCTGAGACGAAGAATCAGGAAGAAGGACATTCTGTGTTGCGGGTGTTTGCCCGCTCTCGACAAGGGTGAAGTGTGCAGATCCGCGTGTTTTGTGAACCAGGGATTCTCAGCCGGGATGTTGTTTCTCTTTGAGGGCTACTTTTTGTTGCCAAAAGGAGGGGAGAGTGCGTGTCCTTGTGGGTGCCATGGTGAGTCTGGATCGGTAGTTTGGTGCCACGAAACACGCTACACCACCGCAGATCCCGGCCATGTTTTTCTTGAAAAATTCATAGCAAAAAAGGAAAGGCAGCGTAAACGATCACAGATGGCGGTCACAAATCACGATCACGCCGAACGATGCCACGGTGCACGATCATCACGGTGCATCACGATACATTACGAGGCAAGACGATTCCACATCCTCATCACGTTTGAGACCGTCTTGCGGTTTCTCGCCTGACGGTGAAATGGACGGTTCGAGGTACTCATACTTGCCAGCTCCAGAACTCCTTGACGATGCACCTGGACATCTCTCGACCGGTTCTAGCTGGTAGCTACGATCTGCGGATAGGCATGGCATGGCAGTTGGCATTGCATTTGGGACTCCTGCTTTGGGAGATTAGCAAATTGAGCTGTCAATGTCAATTATTTAGCAGCCGACGCGAAGTAGCCACACTTCACATCCTCTCTCAGTTTGATTTGTGTTTTGGCCAGGCGTGTTGAACCCTGGCATGCGTGCTGTCGTTGGCTTATTCCAGCGGTTGGTTTTGTCCAGAGAGCGAGAAAGAAGAGAGAGAGAGAGAGAAGGCCAGAGAGAGAGAGAAGGCCAGAGAGAGAGAGAAGGCCAGAGAGAGAGAGAGAGAGATAGAGATAGAGATAGAGATAGAGGGAGAGAGAGAGAGAGATAGAGATAGAGATAGAGATAGAGGGAGAGAGAGAGAGAGAGTGAGATAGAGATAGAGGGAGAGAGAGAGAGGGAGAGAGAGAGAGGAGAAGGAGAAAGAGAAAGAGAAAGTGAGGTGCACAAGAGAGTGTAAGATGGAATTAGAAGAGGCGTGACGTCCTGTCTTTGACATAGTTGTTGCTCCTCAATCCTGGGTGAGCCTTCGATGTCCATACCTACTTGACAGCTGGGGAATAACTGCAAGATAACCACAATCACGTGTGAATATATTAGTTACATGTTGTATTGCAATATTACGAGTGTGTCCAAGTTCCAACTCACTAGAACAAGACCAAGCAGTGCAGCGCTGTTGCCAAAACAATTTATAACAGAGAACAGTCCGAATCCATGCGCATGGTTGACGCTCACTCTTGAGAATTCAGCACCAGGGACAGAATGCTCCAACACTGAGGCTAAAGACTTCTGGACTGTTGAACTCATCAAAGAGGCCAGCTCCGACCAGCACTATCAATTTTTGTTTAGGCAGGAACAAGTGCATCGCTACTAGTAACGAGTGCCTTACTAGTAGTAACAAAAAGCTATTAGTAACAAGTGCCTTACTACTAGGAGCAAGAAGCAGTCTTCAGGATCGCATCGTTGCTGCCGGGGACTGTTCGTTACACGACTGGCGATCTGCCGTGCGCTGTACCAGGTTACTGACTGGCGTACGGCTCCAGTCCCTGGGATCGCATGCGAAACACAAACGACTTCACAGATCAGTTACTACTAGAAGCGATGCACTTGTTTATGCAAAACTCTCAGTTTGTGTTTGTATGGCACTTTGCGCCACTGCTCCAGATTGTCCACATGATTTGCGCGTGTCATCCATGGGGGGTTCCATGTAGTGCAATCACTTGGGAAAGTTCGGAACTGAAAGCTCGCCACACGGAAAGAGCCAGGTAACCATAGTGCGGAACGCATGTACGGGGGTCGCAACAAACGTTGCGCTGTCTCAGTGTTTGAGGCAATGCTCAAAGTTCAAATGAACGGCTTTGGCGTGTCAGGGCCTGCAGTTTGTGTGCCATGTGCGGTGCGGTCGTGGGACCTGCGAATTTTGTGCAACTTTCCTTGTCCAGGCAGATCCTGCCCCTTCCAAAGTTTTAGGATGGCAGACATGATGCCAGTCCATGGCCTTGCAATGTCAAAACTTGAGTTCACAGTTCACACACAAAGACTTACAATTTGGTAGTATATCACTCTTCAGAAAGACTTTTATCATCTTTCGTCTCTTTCATCTTTTTCAGGTCTCAGCCTTTTGTGAAGGAGATTGCGCCCATTGCCGCCCAGGCGAAGCCGAAGCGAAGCGTTTTGTCTGTCGCGACGAGTCGTTTCGAGAGTAGACGAGTCGCGGCCGAAATAGGACGACAGCGTTACTACCTCAGATATAGTCACACTACTGACAGTAATTAACTGTAGCAACACTGTACTATCAGAAGGGTTTTTCAGACCTGTCCAAATCTTCGGTCTTCAGGTCGGAGCGAAGGTCGCTTCAGCTCTTGGGAGCGATGCATAGATTTGCGTAAATAGTTGTTGAGCTGCTGATGTTGCCGTCTTTATTCTCTAAGTTTCTGGGTCCGATTCTTTCACTTGCAGCTTGCAGGCCCAAGCCTGGTCAATAGCTTGGTCATTGTACCTTTTCAAGCTCGTTCTTCAAGGTGCAGGTGGGACTCATCGGAGCAGTGACGAAACCTGTCATGTCAGACGCGGAGAAACCCCTCATGTTTAACCAAAACCGTGAAAAACTGAGAACCTGTCGAAGCTAGAGGCTGAGGAGGGCTAAGAGCTGACGATTGGGTACAAGGCGAAGCGAGAGCAGCACCCGTGACGTGTGACGGTTAGCGTTTTAGGCTGCCGAGCGTCGAGATGCCAAGGCCGACCTCGAAGCGAAGCAGATGGAGAGATGGAAGTTGAAAGTGCTCGAAGCGGAGTTCGTGGGATGGATACATCTTTCAGATCTTTCAACATCTTTCAAGCAAAATGACCGGAAATCAGGAGAATCTGGATAGCATTTTGCAAGATGTGGGCCTCGTGCATCGCCAGGAATCCCAGAACAAGCACGCATGGGCCATGGGCACTCCCTTCAACTTCAAGTCATTCCGAATTTGTCGTTTGCAGGTTCCCCTTTCGATTTCGACACTTTTGTGGGGTGCAATCTTTGGTTTATGCTGAGACCGTCAATGTTGCACAGTTCCTTCTGCATGTGCGCCTTTCTTCCCAGGATCTGGAGAAGGAATTGGACTGGTTGGAAGAGGCCCAACACCCAAGTGTCGAGGGTGAAGACTGTCTTAGTTCGAATCATGTGTGATTAGACTGCCTTCCAGACCGGTTTTCCAAGAGCTTGGCACACCTATTCATGGCATAGCAAATATACAAATCAAGTTTGGGTCTGCGTTTTGATCAGATTGCTTCTTGGATTTCGACAAATGCAGTTTTGCTGGCTCTTGCTTCTGCCCGAGCTGAGAGTCCGAAAACCGTAAAGAAGTGAAGCGAACGGAAGCGTTGAGCGGCAAAGAGTGAAGCAAAACCGTCGCATTCGTTGTCATGTTCCTAGTAGCGATGCCCTTGTTCCTAGTAAGAATGCTACTAGTGATGCCAGGAGCCCCTAGTAGCGTCCATTCTCCTAGTATGGCCAGGAGCTACTAGTAGCGTCCTTGCTCCTAGTAGTGATGCCCTTTGTTCCTAGCAGCTTCTTGTTTTCTGGAGAAGCGTTGTGGTGTTGAGCTACCGAACCAGGATGGAACAAAAAGCTCTACTTCCCCAGACCTGATCTCATCAAGCTCACCGCGGGGTTGTGCCGCTCGGAGGCATTGCTTTCGCTCCCCCCTTCATAGTGCTGGAAGCGGTGCGGTCCGCTTTGTTTCAGATGAGGCCTTTTACATTCTTTTACTGTAACCACACCACATTGTTTGGTTGCAGTTGGCTTTCCTTTTTCGAGTCGATCGGTCAATTGCAAAGATGGCTTGAAAAGTGTTTCTGTGAATGCTGTTGGCCCCAAACTGGTCTCAACAAATTATGGTTCCTCTCTATTTAAAGTGCATGCTTTCAGCACTTTTTCGCTGTGTGCTGAGTCTTGTCAGTCGTTTTTAAACCTGGGCCGGAACAGGCATGGCCTCGGGACAAACAGGGACGGAGCGCAAAATAGAAATCGAACAAAGTGCGGGGTGAAATTGACTCTACAACTAGTAACAAGAAGCTACTTTTCCATCCCTCCTTTGTCGATCCCGCGCAATGTGTCCCCAGGCCTTCACTCTGACCTTTCAGTCGCTCCACGTGTGGAATCGGGCTCTCAAGGATCTCTCCGGCTGTTGGTGAGCGTCTTGACACATGGATGTGATTACAGCCTTTGTACCCAGACAGGCTTCAATATTTCTGACTGTAGAGCAAGCGATTTTGTAACTTTCAGCACTGTCAGGCAAATTCAAAAATACTGTTTGTGCCTGACTTTGCAAAGTTGGAAGGCGAACTGTTGAAAGTCCGCTGACACTGTTTGTCAATCATGTTTCACTGGTGTGGACATTTGAGCAAGGAAGATAAGGAAGACATTGATTCTCGGAAACAGGTTCTTCATGAGCTTGACCTGCCTTTGTTTTGTAGCAATTTGTCCATAAGCTAAACGAAAGGATCGGCTGGAAGTGGCTGCCAGACCATTTGCCCAAATCAAGACAGTCGCATGGAAGGTAAAGCAACTGCCTACAGCGGCGAAGATAAAAAGAACAGAAAAGACAGTGGACCGCAGTAGACCACCATCAGGCAGCGAGGTGTCCAGAATTCAGAGTCATTTTGGGGTCAAAACCGTTCATGGTGCTATGATATACGCACTAATTAGCTTGTTTGGGCGCATGGGGCAAGCTTGATTTTCCCGAATTTCGAAAAATTTTAACCATAGAGCAATGCATTCTTGTCGTAAGTTTAATATCACTGGATGGTTGTTGCTTCAGTTGTAGAGGAAAGTCGACATTCCCAAACTTCATCGGCGGTTTGCTCGACACCGTTCCAAGCTTGTTGCATGCACTGACTAGAATTTGTAGAGTACTGAGTCATTGAAGCTTTTGGATCCTCGCGCTGTGCACCAGAATCATTTTTCCTCAAAATGGGTAGCTCTGTGTCTGTAGTGGATGCGCCGGCCTTCCTGAGGCATGTGATTGGGCAGCCAACACCGGATTTGTTTGGTCAAGTGCGTGTCCAGTCTCACTTGAGATGTTAAGAACTACCGGGATTTTGTAGGAGCAAAGGGCATCGCTACTAGGAGCAAAGGGCATCGCTACTAGGACCTGTACGAACTCACGACGCTTCAAAGGCCTAGCGGGAGCGCAGTGCCTGTGCGCAGCAGTGCAGGCAGTGCAGCACCCAGAACGCCAAGGCCTTGACTTCGTTCGACTTCGTTGATGTTTTTCGGCAACCCACGATTTCCTCCAAACGAAAGTAACCACCACATTGCCATGATCAATTATATCCGCCCCCGGTGGAAAAGATCTGTCCAGAACTCTCTTGTTTCCGTATGTTTCCGAAGTATTTTGGTTCATCAGCGGATGAGTTGCCCGAGTTGCAACTCTCGCCTCGGCCTTCGGCATTTGAGTTCTGCGATCCCGCTTTGAGGCGACGAGACCTCGTTGCAACGTGTCCGGCCTATACATCGGATCCTTTTGCGAGTAACCTTCAAACTGCCACTGTGGAGGCCCGCAGAGGGGTACCCCCCAAAGAGACCGCTGCTTCGGAGGCCCTGGTTGAGGAGAGTGCCAAGTCAAGAGTTTGGGCCAAGGCAAAAGGGAAGGCAGTTGAACGAGGAGAAGAAGGCCGAGGAGATACAAGTGAAAACAGAGCAGGACGAGGAACCCAACAAAGAGCCCCTAGCCTAAGCAGAAGGACACGAAAGCGAAGAAGGAAGTCGAAGAGACAAACGTGGTGCAGCACCCCTTCAAGAGATCAGTCACCACAGACGGGGCAATGAGAGCATTGAGTCGAAGAAGAAAAGGGTGAAAGGGTGAAAAGAGCGTGACACCAGACAAACAGCGGGCCATACCGTTACCAGAAGAAGCGAGCAGGAAGAGAAAAGGTTGCAACTGAGGAGGCCCCAAAACCATCGGCTAGGAAGCCACCACCGCCCCCAGTGGCGCGAGAGTGTGGGTGAGCCAGACGGCATGGCAGCACAAGACCAGCAACGTGCCCGGGATCGACGCGCCCTCGGAGAAGAGGATCGAGCTATGAGGGCGGCGAGAAGGAGGCCAGCTCGGGCCGAGGAGGGCAGGGGCAGGGGGCGTGAAGGAAAGGGCACTTCCACGCAGCTTTGGGCTTGAACTTGGGGTTGTGGGAACCCGAGAAGGCAGCGTCCATGTTTGTGGCCGTTGCGCCCAGACGATGGAAGGACAGAGCAACGATCAGGGCACCGGCCGGCTTGGCGTGGAGTCGTCGAGGCAGCTGGGCTTTGCGCCTGGGGGCAATTTAGCTTGACGCAAAGAAGAAGATAGAGAAAAGAGAGAAAGACGTTTCGAAGTAGGCAGACATCTTCGCGGAGCAGTTCCCTGCCGTTCACAGTCCGTTCAGAGTCCAGAGGAACCTCATTGGTTTGGGATGATGCCTTTCTTCAGTGTGTCATATGAGGGATTGTCAGTTTCTAGCAAAGGTTTGCACTGCTTCTTCTGTACTCTGACCCCGCCTCCAAACTGCTTCCTGCGCTTCAACAAGCCTGTGCCTTGGAGTCTTGCGCAACCCGAGCTGAAAGGCCTCTTTGCCATGGGGTTCGTGAACTGGGTTGGGATTGCGCAGCATGCGCACAGGCGCTGGTGACTCGATCACGGCCGAAGGAAAAGGGGCGGCGTGGACAAAGTGCTTCCCAAGCGAGAGACCGCGTGGCGCGGGCATACCTGAGGAATCGAGTGCTTGTAGTTTCCCCGGCAGTCAATGGGCTGGGCCCTCAAGACTGCGCGCCCGCGCAACACTTGTGGACTTGCGCCTGGGACTTCTTGAAGATACTTCAAACCGCGCTTCACATTTTACCCTTGAGCCGCGGCAAAGCAGCAGGCCGACAGGTCGAAAACGCTTTGGGGACGGGACAAAAATTGCCAGAAATTCAAGAAGAAACGCTCGAAATGAGCGGAAGGTTTCCCAGATACTCAAGAAGAAAAGCTCAGAATGAGCTGAAGGTTTCCCAGATAGTCGAAATGAGCTGAAGAGCCCCCTACTCGAAGAACCAAAAAAGCATTCCGTGGACTCTAACCAGTGGCCCACATAGTGAGGGGGAATCATCACTCTGGGCGCCTTTTCCTTCACGTGTGGACGAGGAACAGGGGTGCTTTGAACAGTAGTTCGATTTGTAGTTAACCTATTTTGTTTTATTCATTTGCTGCAGAGAGAAACAAAAGGTGCGGCTGACAACTTTTATTGTAATATTTTTTTAGATACTTGTATCATATATACGTATACAAACATACAAAAACATACATACATACATACATACATACATGCATACGTACATATGAATATACATAAAAAAATTATACCAGCGTAGACCCCAAACAGAGCAATGTTCAAAAATGAGATCTCCGAACAATATGGCCAGCAGTATTTCCTAGAGGAAGAAAACTATAGTCCACCATGTAGACGCACATACAAGATTCAAAGGGAAAGCATTAAAATTTTGCTTTTCATTGACTTTACAATGGGACGCCGTACAAGGGCTAAAACATGAAATTTATGGATCCAGGTTGTGACATATGTTGCCCCACTTGTAAACACGAATGCGCAGACCCAATCAAAATGAAGATTTCCTCAGAGCACGGACACTGCGCTTGGTTTTTTCCTTCCTACGCAGTTGCCTTCTTTGGCTTAGCCATGTACTGCATTGACCTGTGTTTGCCATAGGTCGCAACACTTGACGTAAGAGTGTGTAATTGCTTCGTTGATCATCTGCACGAAAGTAGCTGCCAACCTAACTAAACAGCAAATCGAGCAATGCAATGCTTGTGGTGAAAATATGTGAAAGTAGGGTATTTCGATGCAAAGCAACTCGAAAGAAGCTTGTGGTGACTCAAAACGAAACGAGGATCTGCGAGGATCTCTGCGAAATAAGGAAAATCCTTCAAGACTATGAAGGGCTTAGGTGGCTTCATCTTCGGGTCGTCCAAGCAAGCTGCCACCAAATCTGGAGCTCTTTGAAAAGCTTCAAATCCAGCCTGAGCCTCATTTAGCTCCAGATTTCAACTGCATGTGTGTGCAAGGGCAAAAAAATTGATTTGGCCATTTCGTTTAAACTTTTTTTGGCAGTGCTTGTTCATATCCATTGACTGTTCAAAGATGTAAAAATGTTCAAAAACTCTCTGAAAGTCACTGGTCGCCTGGGTTGTTTGCGTCCGCTTGTGGTGCATGAGGAATAGGCTCCGATTATGCAAAAAGCATCTGTTGTGATAAAGGGCTCTTTCTATGCGCAAAAACTCAAAAACCCATACACCGGGTCGCAGAAGTCAGTGCAACCCCAACATTCATGTCAGTTCCCATTGTAACATGATTGGCGCCACCACATTTGGATAACAAATTTTTGTGACAACCTCTCAAGAATGACCTGTCAAACACAAGCAGGACAGAGCATCCAGAGCTTACTGGGAGACAAGTGGGAGACAAATGGGAGACAAATGGAAGACAAGTATGAAATCATGCGGCCAGAGCAGTGAGAGCATCCAGAGCTTACTGGGAGACTGGGAGACAAATGGGAGACAAGCGTGAAATCATGCGGCCAGAGCACTGAGAGCATCCAGAGCTTACTGGGAGAC